AAAATTTAAATATGCTATGAAGCTCATCTATTTCTGGTAAATTCATTTTTAAGGAAAATTACCACATCATTGTTTTAATGGTTGTAAATGGATTTTTCCCCAATACATGTGGATCAGTAAAACAGAAAAATATCTCCAGTAGACTGTTCTCAGACTTTTTTTTGACCTTCCAAATGGTAAAATTTGCAAAAATCTATACTTAATATTAAATGTTGGTGAAAAGACTGTTAGAATTTTATTATAAACTATCTAGAAAATCCTAAATAATAGCTATATATCAAAAAGATGTCAGTATCTTTACTTAGAATGAGAAGATTTATACTTTTTTGGGAAGAGAACAGCACAAATTCTAAGGATTAGATAGATTATATAAACCAGGCACAAGCTTGTATCATTATATTAAGACAGATTTAAAATAATAAAATTTACATTACTTCAAAAGCTATGGTGATAAAAAGAATAATATTCTAATATTATAAATTAGAAATATCCCTAAAAACAGGAAGTTCTTCAAGATACTGTAAGTAAGCATAATGACTATGATAGCAAATACTCTCCCTATATGATCGGATCTTCACTTTTCTCTCTAAACTTCTATAGCTTCCTAGGTAAAAAAAAAAAAAAAAAAAGCTATGTCAAGTCCTGTAGGGATCATTGAATTACAAGTCTCTATTTCTTGTTACCTATGGACTAGGGAAAAAGTGGAAGAAAAAAATTTCCGCCTGTGGTTGATGAATTTCAGAATGCATCCCGGATTTCAGAAATCCAGAGAATTACATACCAACATGAGTAAGAAAATACTGAACACATCTAAGACATTCTGGTACGTTTTGGCAAAATCCAGAGTATAAGATCACTTTTCCCGAGAGTGGCTTAAAATTCTCAACTGGTTCCAACCTTTACCATCTACATCACTCCAAACAAAAATTATTCTGAAATTCAACTTTTCTTACCTGTTCAAATATAACCCAATATCCCAAATGTATAATGGTTAGTTTACTTCATTGTTCAGCTATGTTACTTGGGACACAAGTAAGGCCTTAAAAGGCCTGAGTTTTACGTGCTAGAGCAAGAGTGTTTCAAACAATTCTCATCCTGGCCTGTAACTCAGAGATTCCTACGAAAAGAGGAATATAATGGAACACTGAACGCCTTTGAGGAGCAGTCTATATTGCAA